TAAACTGTGGTCAATGACATGAGACAAAGTATATGTGAACTGCTGTATGGAAAGTGAATTTGCTCTGTAAATCTTCACCCAAATAAAAACAAATAAATTAAATAAAAAAAAATGAGTTGCTATTGAGTCATTTCTGACTCATGCATTAGATAACTTACTATCTTCAAGTGACTTGAATGACAGTTGTTTCTGAAGACTGATTTCATACATAATAGATGAATCAATATCATGAAACTTGGACTTGATCATTCTGTGTATAAAATTAAAAAAATAATAATAATTTTTTATGTTTTAAATGGAACTTTACACAGCAAATTAAGTTCTCCTTAGGATTTTTATACAAATTGTTCTGTGCCATTGGTTACAATTTTTACAATGTGTCAGCAGTCTTATTATTTCCATTCTGTTTGTTTTCTTTACATGGATCTAGCTTCCCTTCCACTCCTTTCCTTTTCATCTTTGTTTTGGGTAATGTTGGTTTCATGTAGTTAATTGTTTAAGAGGGAGTACATCACTTACATGTGACACTGTTTATTTTATAAATCAGTACCTGGTATTACTAGGTAGGTGTTTTACTGAGAAGTTTTCCTCTTTATTTCTTTTACTCAAACTACCTTTTATATGATTTCTCTATCTCCAAAATGACAAGTTATAAAAAATACTCCTTTCCTGTAGAAATAACAGGACTATGAAAGTGGTTAAACTTTTCTTTAATTTTCCACCAACAGTTCCAGAAGTCAACTTACAAAAGTTAGTTGTTGCTGATCTGTTGAGTGGTGTTCTTTGTAAGGCATACTTTGTACTTCTAGGCTCTGTGAAGCAGCTGTGGGATTTTTTGCATGTAAATCAGTACTGAGTACTTTCTCATTCCCAGTATAAACTGCTAAGCTTTCCTCACAATGATGATGTGAAGAGTTTCTGTGTCAGTGATTACAATAAAATGAGTGAAAGAAGAATTTGAGGAGGAAGAAATGAGAAAAATTAAAGAATGGTTCAATGTGATGATTGTAAGTCAGGTTTAAATTGCACTAAAATCAATGCTCATGAAAGCTGCACTCAAGAAGTCAGATATTGTATTGCACTAGGCTAATCTGCTGCAAAAGACTTCTTTAAGGGATTAAAGAACAAAGATGTCACTTTGAGGACTAAGGTGGGCCTAACCCAAGCCATGGCATTTTCAGTCACCTTATATGCATGTGAAAGCTGGACAATGAATAAGGAATATCAAAGAAGAATTGATGCCTTTGAATTGTGGTGTTGCTGAAGAATACTGAAAATACCATGGACTGCCAGAAAAAGAACAAATCTGTTCTGGATGAAGTGCAGCTGGAATGCTCCTTAGAAGTGAGAATGGCTATACCGCATCTCACCTACTTTGGTCATATGGTCAGAAGGGGCAAGTCCCTAGAGAAGGATACCATGCTGGGTAAAGTAGAGGGTCAGCACGAAAGAGGAAGACCCTCAGTGAGATGGATTGACACTGTGGCTGCAACCATGGCCTTAAGCATAGCTTGGACTGTGAGGATGGCGCAGGACAGGGGGGTGTTTTGTTCCCTTGTACATAGGGTCGCTATGAGTTGGAATTGACTTGATGGCACCTAACAATAACAAGAACAGAATGTTAAAATTCATGTTAGTATTACGAATATGAGCATGGAGTATTTGTTCTTTTTTCCTCTTTCTGTATTTATGAAAATTAGTCATTCCATTGTGCTGCTTAAATGTTTTGATGTTATCTGTTAACCAAAAGGTCAGTGGTTTGAACCCATTCAGTGGCTCCACAGGAGAAAAGACCTGGCAATCTGCTCCCATATAGATTACAACCTAGGAAACCCTGTGGTTCTTTTACTTTGTCTTATAGGATTGCTGTGAATTTATTCCAACTCATTGGCACACAGGAGCAACAGTAATTGAAATACTGAGTGTGCTTCATTAGGAAGCACAGTTCAGGAGATTGGCAGTTGCACTTAAATGCATATCAATTTTAAGATACCTGATTTTATGTTAAATATTAAATTACTGCACTTAAAATTTTATAGTCAATATATGGGAAATTTTGGATTTAGAAAAATTCTTATCCTTATAAGATAAATGTGTTCAGACTATGAAAAAGACAATAAAGAGATGCATTTTTTTAACTGCAATGTCCTTTGAATGCAGATAAAGATGTTTTTGAAGCCTAGTTGATGTGAATAGAAGTTAATAAAATTAGCTTTATTTTAGTTATACTTTGAAAACTATAAAGTGATATTCCATCCTTCTTTATTTTTTAAAAAGCACTTTTATTATGAAAAAAATTCAAGCATACACAAAACAGAAAAAATAGTATTTTGAATCTACATGCATCTCTCCCTCTGCTTGATCAGTTATCTCTACCTCCTCCTTTTTTTTCAGTACTTTAAACAAATCCAAGGTAAATAATCATGTCACTTATAAGTAGTTCAATATGTATTCTTAATAGAAAATGTTTTAAAAAGTTAACTGCAATACTGTTGTTATACTTAAAAATTCCAGAATCCCTTAATATCATCTATTACCAAATGCATGTTAAATTGTTCCTGATTATTTTTTAAAAATGGTGCTTTCGTTTGGCTTGTTCAGATCAAGATCCACACCTTGCAGTTGGTTGATATTTCTTTTACGTCTCTATATCACAATACAATCTGTATCATTTGCTCATTTTTCCATTTTCCCACTTTCATTTACTTCATGTTACTTATTTGTTGAAGAACTGGATTATTTCTCTTGTAGAATTTTCAACATTCATTTGGCTGGGCTTGATTGGAATAAATTTTGTTTGATTGGGGGGCAAGAATACTTCATACATGGTAGTATTATATCAAGAAACTTGTCCATTTGCTCCACTCTTGGTGGCGGTATGATTGATTGTTGAATTTAGGTGTTAATCAGCCTTATTCTTTCATTATAATGGTAGCATGTACATTTGATAGTTTTAAATAGCTATGATGATAATCATTGCGTGGATCCATCATTTCATTGGAAATGGCAAAATGATAAATGCTCTGTTCTGTCATTCATTGTTTTTAAAATTGTGGTTCTTGCAGAAGATTTCTTTTCCTCCTTATTTAATTCATTTTTCTTGCAGTATAGTCCATTGAGAAGGCAGGACAGAGGCTTGATTCTATCTCTTTATTTATCAGATTTTAAAGACAGTTTATACTCTATCAATTCCTAAAGGTGACCAGTTTGTGTGTGTGTGTATTACTACAGACTCATGGATTTTCACTTATAATTTTATGTGTTTCAATTGTTGTAAACATAATCCTTTTGATGTTCAAATTATCCCATCTTTCAACAGTGGAACCGTTTGTAAATAGGCACCTGTGTTTTTTGACATGACTCTTGTAGTTGTTGATAGTTTACTTGTTTTTAAGTTTAAGGTGAGGTAGGTTCCACTACATCTCCTACCCTAATCCTGGAATTAACTAATTTTCCCAAAGAGCCCTGGCTTCTTTTAGTGGGAAATATTACTTAGACATGTCAATCTGTGAGATAGGGATACTAAATTCACTGGATTATCATCGTTTCTATCATCAAATCCTTTGAATTATTTATGTTCCTATATATTGTTAGAAGAAATATCCCCTTGTTTTTATGTGTATTTACTCGATAAACTGCCATCATTTAGGGGACAAAAGTCTATTGAATTTGTGATTTTGGAATATCTAAATGCTTAAATTGATAAATCATTTATGGTTTTTACTTTTTAGGTTGCAGGAATTAACTGTTTGTTCAGAAGATAATGTTGATGTTCATGATATAGAATTGTTACAGTATATCAATGTGGATTGTGCGAAACTAAAACGACTCCTGAAGGGTAAGTTTAAATGTAGTATCTGAAATGAATCACTATGAGTCAAAAACTAGTAGTAATGAAAGTACTGATTGTGTTGAGTTAGAACTCAAAGTGGATTTTATAATACAAATGTTTTTGTGAAATGATTAATCATACTTTTGGTCCTAGGTTTTTTTTTTTTTTTTTTTTTTTTTTCAGGATCATGATAACTTTCTTTTTTTTCTTTTAGGTGATACGGGGTTTGGTCCTAGTTTTTGAAGCATTGCAATCAATACAATAGAGAAAATGAGTATTTTAAGTCTAAGCAATATAAAGTTTTGTTTCACTAAATGTTTTTAATAAAGTAAGGGTACTGTTCTTAAATTTTTCCAGGTTTGGTCTCTTAAGGGTGGCTGTAGGTTATAGAAGTTACCTGTTTGGCTGTTATAACACATTTAGATAAGATGGTCTTTAGCAGCATATCAAAGTCTCATGGCAGAATGGAACTAGGAGATCATGATTTCAAGGCAAGATGAAGAATTGAGGCAGGGATCTCATTTCTGTTTTCATTTGCTGGTGACTTACGGACTGATGTTACAGCATTGCAAAATTTTAACCTTTTACTGCCTGGTTTTGCTTTCTCATAAAACCTGTCAATAATAGTTCCTACATGAGACTATAAAAACAAGGGGATATTTCTTCTAACAATCTATAGGAACATAACTAAGTCAAAGGATTTGATGAAAGAAATGATGGTAATCCAGTGAACTTAGTATCCCTATCTCTCACAGATTGAGAGGCCTAAGTAATATTTCCCACTAGAAGAAGCCTGGGCTCTTTGGGAAATTACTTAATTCCAGGATTGAGGTAGGCGATGTAGCTGAACTTACATCACCTTAAGCTTAAAAACAAGTGAACTATCAACAACAGCGGTCAGTCAGAAAAACACAGGTGCCTACAAAGGGTCCCACTGTTGAAAGATGGATAATCTGAACATCAAAAGGATTATGTTTACAACAATTGAAACACATAAAATGATGGGGATGTTATTTATAATGCCTAAAAAGTTATTTTTTTAGCATTGGGAAGTACTTTACATGATTATGTCTAATGAAATAAACTATCAAAAGGAATTGAGAGAATTGCTGAGGTAAATAATGAAGTACTGATACAAATCATGTATCAATGAGTATTCCTAAACTGAGCATGACTATCTAAATTTCATTTTACAAAATTGCTTTTTAGTTTTATGTAATGCTGGGTTCTAGTTAATTAAAAAGTGAAATCTCATAGTATACAGTTTTTTTTTTATTTTAAAAATTTTATTGTGGTAAAATATATATATAGCAGAAAGTTAGGCATTTTTACCATTTTTCAGTATGTTAGTCAGTGACTAATTACATTCCCCATGTTGTGCTAATGTCACCACTTCCATTTCCAAGTTTTCCATCACTCCTAACAGGATCTCAGTGTCCCTTCAGCAATAACTCCGTTAACTGCTTCCCTCAGTCCCTGGTGACCACTAGTACATTTTTGTCTCTGTGCATTTACTTATTCTTGATATTTCACGTAAGTGGGATCATGCAGCATTTGCCGTTTTTTGTCTGACTTATTTCACTATTCAATGTTTTCAAGTTTATCCACATCATAGCATGTATTACTACTTCATTTCTCTTTATGGATGAATAATATTCCATTGTGTGTAATACCATATATTGTTTATCCATTTATGTGTTGATAGACAATTGGGTTGTTTTTAATCTTTTAGCTGTTTTGAATAATGTTACAATAAATATTGATGTATAGTATCTGAGTTCCTGCTTTTAGTTCCCTTGAGTATTTACCTGGGAGTGCTATTGCTGGGTTATATGGTAATTCTATATTTAGCATTTTGAGAACTGCCAGACTTTTTCATAGTGACTGCATCATTTTACATTCCTACCAGCTTTGTATAAGGATTTCAGTTTCTCCATATCCTTGCCAACATTGTTATTTTCTATTTTTCTGATTACAGTCATCCTAGTGGGGGTGAAGTGGTATCTCATTGTAGTTTTGATTTGCGTTTCCCTAATGGCTAGTGATATTGTATGTCTTTCCATGTGCCAATTGGCCATTTGTATGTCTTCTTTGCCAATAAGCATATGGAAATATGTTCATTATAGTATTGGGTTGTTGGTCCTTTTGTTAAGTTGTAGGAGTTTAGTATATAATCTGGATATTAAACTTTATCATATTCTTCCATTCTGTAGGTTGTCTCTTTTATTTCTTTGTTAAAGTCCTTTGATGCACAACAATTTCACTTTAATGAAGCCCAGTTTATCTATGTTTGTATATTTTTTTTTCTTTGTTGCTTGTGTTTTTGGTGTCCTATCTAAAAATCCATTGTCAAAAGCAAAGTCTTACAGCTTTCCCTCTATATTTTCTGCTCGGAGTTTTATAGTTTGAGTTTTTGTATTTACATCATTCATCTATTTTGAATTAATTTTTATATATGATGTGAGATATGGGTCCAACTTAATTTTTTTGCATGTTGTCTTAGGGTAGGTTCTCTAGTGAAACAAAACCAGTGAAATTATATATATATAATACACACACACACATATACAGAGAGAGAAAGAGAGAGAGGTGGGGGGAGAGAGACAGAAAGAAATTTATCTCAAGAAAATGGCTCATGCAGTTGTAGACACTGGCCAGTCCCAAGCCTGTAAGTCAGTCAAGCTGGTGGCTTCTCTTGACTCTTATAGCTGCAGAGGTTGATGAATCCATGGTTGGCAGGAAATACAGCAGGCCACTGGTTCAAATTTGGGAGCTGGAAGTCAGATGTTGAGCCAGATGCAGATCCAAATTGAGCAAAAACCCAGAGAGCTTTGCCTTAACTTTTCCACATATATGGGAAGCAGGCTACACTGAAAGAAACTCCCTTTCAACTGATTGTCTGCTCATCACAGATATCATCACGGAGGTGATTACATTATATAAAATCTCATCATGAGGAATGACTGTATCATGGCCAACTAAGTTGACACATAACCTTAACTGTCATACCTGTGGAGACTCAGTTATTCCAGCACCACTCATTGGAAAGACTGTTCTTTACTCATTGAATGGATTTGGCACCCTTGTTGAATATCACTTGGCTATGAGTGTATGGATTTACTTTGTATCTTAAATAAGGCATTAACAATGTTTTTAATATCTGGCCTAAAAGAAGATTTAGTTATATTCCCTTTGAAAAACTCAACCTTTCTGCCATGTAATTTTCAAAATAACTTGTTTAGTTTTTTTAAGATGTACTTTAAGCTCAGTAACTATGTCACTGGTGTTATAAAAAGACATTATCTGAATGGGTGAATGATATGTGGTTATGTTCCAGCTCTGTTACCCTTGTGCAAAATTCATGATTTTAGGTCATTGTCATTATAATAAAACCAAGCAATAATTAGATCAGTTTTTAGTAACTTATTTATCAGCCCCAGGGTTACAGGTGAGGAGAGGAAACTCAGGCCCGCCCAGAGTAGCAGGCCGGAAGTGCAGGAGAAAGGGGATAAAAGCTAGGAACCCAGACAGAAGAGCAGTCAGCCCCAGGGTACAGGTGAGGAGAGACAACTCAGGGACGCCCAGAGTAGCAGGCAGGAAGAGCAGGAGAAAGGGGATTAAGAGCCAGGAAGCCAGAGATAAGAACAATAAGCCGAAGGGATTAGGTGAGGAGAGAAAACTCAGGCGCCCCCAAAGCAGCAGGACCGGAGAGCAGGAGAAAGGGGATAAAAGCCAGGAACTCGGACAGAGGAGCAGTCAGCCCCAGGGACAACTCAGGGACGCCCAAAACAGCAGGCCAAAAGAGCAGGAGAAAGGGGATTAAAAGCCAGGAAGCCAGACAGAGGTACAGTCAGCCACGGGGACACGGGGGGGTGATACGAGAGGTCTCCGACAGCAAGACAAA